AAAAAGTGACATTTTGAAGAAGTGTCTTTCATGCTTTGACAGAAATAGTACAAGAGGAAATTTTTCTCAAAGGAGGAGGAGGAGGAGGAAGAAATCGATTCCAAATGTTTTTTTAAATCGATCTGTGATTATTTTTAGCCAACCAAATGTATGCACTGTCAATTGCAAGCAGCTTTTGTGGATAACAAATGTGTATGGTGCTGCCATGGTGAAAGAAAATATGGTGCACCAGTTCACTGTGGTCAGTGCCTCCAGAAAGCTGCCTTCATCCGGAATCCTGCACATCGGGTGCGCTTTAACGAAGCACGGTTCCTTTCTTTTGTTACCGAGTTTTTTTTGAATAATGTCGTTGTGATGGGATTATTTGCTTAGTTTGTTGAGTTTTTGAATTATTTGCTTAGTTTGTTGAGTTGTTCGTTTCCAGAAATGGTTTTGGATGTCTAGGACGTGAGTTTTTGCATAAATAATAATAAAATCGAATGTTTTTTTGCTGGCTGATGGGCTTGGCTAAAAAAACTGCATATGTTAATACATGAAAGATTTTAGGCCCCCCTCCTCTTCCAATTTCATAACCAGGAATATTTATATTGTTCGTATGTTTAAAATTCCTACAACACTTAACTAGCAAGTATCATTGTGCTGATACTGAATGTTGAAGGAACAGCCAAACCCTGTACTACTCGTTTAGTCGTCCCGATAGTCATGAAGTTCTGTAATTAATTGATCCTTCTTTTTCTTATTCGCTTCTCTCGTAAGGAATATATGCGGATGAAACCTTGACAACGGATGATTTAATAATGACAGAAATATTCAAGTATCATAACTTTTACTTATTGCTTTTTATGCGTTTTGTGCTGTGTAAAAGCAGTACAAAACGCATATTGTTACGGGATTGTCTGTGTGTGTGTCCGCAGCAACTTGTCCGCAACTTTCAACTCGGGAACCACAAAAGCTAGGAAGCTGAATAGGGTAACGTTTCCCACCCACGTGTGACCCCACAAATTTAAATTCAGCTTCCCCGTACCCACGGGTAACGTGTACGGCCGGACGTTCCCCACCCATGTGTGACCCCGCAAATTTAAATTCAGCTTCCCCGTACCCGCGGGTAAGACGTTCCCCACTCACGTGTGACCCTTCAAATTTAAATTCAGCTTCCCGGTACCCACGGGTAACACGACCCACGTGTGACTCCGCAAATTTAAATTCATCTTCCCCGTACCCGCGGGTAACGCGTACGGCCCTGTGAAAGTTTTTTAACCACGTGTGACCCCGCAAATTTAAATTCAGCTTCCCCGTACCCGCGGGTAACGCGTACGGCCCTGCACGTGTGACCCAGCAAACTTAAATTCAGCTTCCCCGTACCCGCGGGTAACCCGTACGGCCCCGTGAAAGTTTTTTACGGATAACTTAATATCTCGGGAACCACGGAGTCTAGGAGGCTGATATTTTAGGGAAATCTACCCACTGCCCACGCTCAACTTTGTCCATTCAAATTCAGCGTTCTAGTTCTCTCGGGTACCACCTACGGGCTAGTGGAATTTCTGGCGGGTAAACTATTAACTGGGAAATCACAAAGAGATGTTCATCCTTCAAGGTTTCGAATTCAGCTTTCATGCGCTGGTGCGTGAAATTTTTAACTGTT